CATACTGCTGAACTGCTCCCCTTCCTAAACCACCGGGTGGCAGATGTGAAGGATGAGCTGTGTACCACCGCTGAGGGGGAAAGACGCTTCTGCCCCTGGAAAGTATCTCACTGCTTTGAATTCAGTAAATGCCTGTTTGTGGATTACTGCCTCCCGACAGATCTGGTGACCCTGCAGCTTCCCCAAACTGCCAGCCATCTTGCATCTACTGTATCCCTCCTCTCTGCTCCCTCCAACTGGGAAAGTGTCAGAGTGAAGCTGGTTCTCAGTTTGCATTGTTGCCCCTAGAAAGTGGCCCTCATTTCTTTTGAGTGCTAGGCACCAGCCTCGCTCCCTGCCTGACGGCACAGTTAGCAGCACTAGTGTGCCCCATTGCTAATATACTGTGCCCCAGCAAACTACACTTTCTTTGCCAGGTACTTTGAGTTGCTGAATTTTGTTCTTACTGGGTTTTGTTGGGCATGGATGTGAATGGGTCAGCAGATGACCTCTGATCCTTTTCCCCCCACTCCTTGCTGATACCACACCTGAGACACTGGGCAGTAACTTGCTTTTAGCAATGCTGATCTTGTGCTCTCAGCTGCTTGGTTGGTGGGGGAGACTATTTGGCATTTCCTAATGAAGAACATAGTTCTTTGCTCCTCCTCCCCTCCCCACAGCAAATGCAGTAATTTAAGCTTCCAGTTTAGCCTGTATTTATTGCTGCTGAGCATTCCCTTGTCAAAGGTTAGCACAGGATGTTACAAGGCTTGGTCTAATTCCAGGGAGAAGCTGGCAACCCAGCTGTAGACAGGAGCATATTGCTCTAGAGCCAGAGAAAGGGGAGGCAAGCCTACAGCCCCCCCGGAACTGAAACAAGCTGCACTAAGCTCAGAAGTGAGGCTGGGAAGCAGTGTTTGGTTTCAAAGCTGGCTTCTTGCCTTCAGGATTTTCTTTACCATTTCACTTTCCCTTCAGGTTGTTAATGAAAAACCACATCTCTGGTTTTTTCACCTCCCCCTTCCCCAGGGAGGATGACACCCCTGGTTTTTCCAGTGCAGAAAGGGGTTTAGGGCACACATGTTGCATGATTTCTCATCCAGCCCCCCAAGCTGGGCGAGTAAGATAAGGCTCACACAGCCCATGAGAGGGCACAGGTCCAGCTTCCCAGGTGTCCCCGTGTCCCTCCAGAGGGCTAGAGGACTGATTACTCTGCCCTCTTCCCCTTAGGAAGGGTGGCTTCAACCAGGTTTCTGCCAGTGGAAATGGATGAATAGCTTCCACTTTCCCCACCTTTTTCTGTGGCCTGTCATGGGGTAAATCAAGTCCTTGAATGTCTAAAATGCAGTTGCTTGGCTCTGTTGGCAGGAGGGTGTCACATACCTCTCATCTAGGTACTAGCGAAAGGGAGATGCACATTCCACCTGGCTTCATACATCTTGTTGAAGCCCACTGTAAATCCCTTTCCTGTAGCAGCCACCAGGTGCCCGCCATCGACAAACTGCTTCAGTTCAAGCCTTTTGTAGGACAAATGCATTGTAACTTGCACCATCCCCACCCCATCCCGTGTGCTCGCTCCCACCCCTTCCCAGAAGGCAGCGCCGTGGCCTGTGGATGCCTGTGCAGCTGAACTGGTTGGCACAGCAGTTCCCCCAGTCAGCAGTGCACTCTGGAATGTATTGGACGCTGTAACACTGTAAAAGCAAAGGTATAAAGTGACTAGATTTTGGGGTTGTCTGTAAGTATTGTAACCTGTTCCTTTTTGTAATCATTTTTAATAAAAAGGTGTTGACTAGACATGCATGTGGACAGCTCCTGTTTGATCCGTGTGTCTGCTGTGGTGCTGGGAGGGAGACTCTGCTCCTGCAACTGGGCTCTTCCCTGGCTGTTGAAACGCTGTTGGTGACCTGCCCGAAAGGTGATAAGCAGCACAGCGTGTCTCTCTTCTCTCAGCTTTTTCTTTTCTCCTTTGTGGAGCTGACATCATGTGTGTGGTGTGTGATGACATTATGACATCTCATTCTTCATCGTGGTAAAGCACTTTGCAAGTGATATCCAGTCAGGTCCACTGCAGAGCTCTAGATGGAGAGCATGGGCGAGTGCTGCCGTGACGCTCAAGCCAAGGGGAACACACAGCTCAGTACACCCATAATATGACAAGGTTTCTCCAGAAACCCGTGTCTTCTGGGAGCACCCGGGGCCATGAGATTCCACCTTGCACCAGAACCCGCAGGAATTTCCTCTTGCAACCACTGCTCTGAATGAGAGCCTCCTGCCCTCTCACTATCCAGAGCACTGCCTCCCAGCCCCACTTTCTTTTCCCAGATCAGGAGCTAAACTCAGGGGTCCTGCCTCACCGCTTTGCTCTAAGCCAGTGGTTCTCAACATTTTTTAGACTCAAGGCAGCTCACAGAAAATGCCAGTTCTTAATTTTTGCTTAACTTTTGTCTACAGAAAAATGGTGAGCGATTCTTTCCTGTTGCAAACTCAGAAAGACCGCAGCAGGTCAGCATGGTTTTAACACTATGGATTTCTATGTGAAATCTCTGGGTTTATCTTGAGAATCATGTTTGCACACCCAATGGTGCTAACATTGCATGGCACCCTGCAGCACCTTTGAAAGGATTTCAAGGCACCCTGAGGGTGCTACCACTCCCTGGTTCAGAATCACTGCTCTAAGCAATTGGCCACACTTTCCCGATCCAGAGAACAGAACCCAGGAGTCCTGACTCCCAGCTGTCTGCTTTGAACCACTGGACCAAACCTCTTGAGCTACAGCCCAGGAGATCCTAACTTCCAGATCCCCTGTACAAGCTGCTAGACTTTGTTCCGTCCAGGCTGGGAACAATCCCAGGCACTGAACCTGGTGCTCTGAGTGTGCCAATCAATCTCTCAAATGGGGGGACATTAAGGTGCCAGTGGAAGGAGCTGACTCGGCACTGGGGGAAGGCGAAGGTAAAGAGTTCAAATTAAAAATAATAGGGCATTAATGACCTCACTGGCAATGCATTTTATTGAGTGCCTTAGTTATGGCTTGGCAATGTCATTGGTTATTTAGGTGCCATAAAAGTTGTGCTCACCTGTGATCTCAGCTGTCCCCATCTGTCTTGGTGGCTCAGCTGTTCTAACCCTCTTCATGGATTTCCAAGACATGAGATGATTTAATCTTGCATGAAACTCCTGCTGTGAAACCTGGGGGCGATGCTCCATGCGCAGATCACCCCTTTCTACTGCCTCTCCAGCAGCCCAGCTGTCTGAAAGGAAGTTCCCCTGGTGAGAACCCATGCCATTGAAGTGGAAACACCATCGGTCAGGTGAGCGAGGGTCAGTCAGCATTAGAGGTGACCTAACAACTTGAGGCTGGGACCTTTTGGGCTCCAGTTGTGCCATGCATTGGGCAAATGCAGTAGGGTGCCGTTGTGTGGCTCGCCTGCCCATGGGAGAGCAATCTGTGACTGAGATTGAAATTGCTCTTTTAATGCAAGTCACAGGAATTTGGTACTTTACATCAGTGGAGCTCTAGTTTTCAGAGCAGTGGACTGGTACTTGCAACCTTGCTGCACTGCAGGCCACCACTTCCCTCCGATAGGGGCCTGGGGGTAGGAGAGAGTGGAGAAAGGTGACTGCCATTATCAGGGAGGGGAGGGAGACAAATTTATCTCCTGGCTGTGCAGGGGATCTGCCTGGGAAAGGGATGGGGAAAAGATGGATCCAGTCACTTCAGGGGCTGGATCTGGCCTGTGGACTGCAGGTTGAGCACCACTGCTTCAGATGCTGGAGGTCCCTGGTGGGTCGTCAGCATAAATTGAACTTCCAAGCCAGGTTTCCACGGCTAGAGCAATGGCACTATTTTATGGTGAGCTTTAACAGCTGCTGATCTTCCTATGGGTGGGAAATGTGGGTCTCTCTTTTTCCTTGAAGATGCTGAATCAAGGCGGACTGGTCTGTCCCCAAGTAGCAATAAATCTAAACCCAAGGAACTAGGAGAGATTTGTATTCAAGCTGTTTAAGCCCCTATGTCATCTTGTTTGCTTGTTTTCTCTCACTCAAATGTCTGAGTAGCATTTGGGAGCAGGGTGCTCTTTGTTAAGCACCAGCAACCGTTTCTATTACTGGTAGTTTTGGAGGCTGAGAATGTCGCCTTTATGTACATTGCTGTGTGCAATGAAGCTTGCTATTCCTATGGTCAAGAAGCATGCAAGATTAAGTATGCTCATGCTTCTGTTTCCTGTAAAGCAGCAAAAAGAATACCCAGCTCCTTTATAGCAGTTTCCATCAGTAGATCTGAAAGCATTTGAGGAGAAGTCAGTATTGTTATGCCCACTTTGCAGATGAAAAAACTGAGGCACAGAGGCAAAGTGACTTGGCGAAGATTGCCCAGCAGAGCCAGGGTTAGAAACACCCTGTTTAGTAGTCCGTCCACAAGCCATGAATCTGCTTTTCCTTGGGTCACCCTTTTTGTTTGCAAACCATCTTTTTTTCTTGTACCGTAGCAGCCGCTGAAGATTCCCACCAAGAAGAGATCTTCCCTGTGCCAGGGGCAGGACATATATAATAATGGATGCCAACTTAAGTAGACCTAGGTGAGGTTACAAATGAGGCATCAAACTGGCCCATGGTCATGACAAGGGGCTTTGAGGCAAAACTCCTGTAATCCCAGCCTAGCACTTGAATTATTTGCCCACCTTTCCTTGCTTTAAAGTCCCTCTTGAGCACTGGGGGCCCAACAGAGCAAAAACGCAGCCAAGGGGCTTGGTGAGGGAGTCATTTGTCTCTAGCCCACCCATAGCTGGGACGGGCCCAGGAGACTGAACCAAACCCAGTCAGTGTAATGCCGCTGGCCCCGGGCGCCCCTGCCAGTTGATTATGGCATCAGGGCTCCCTCTGGGGTCAAAGGTGCTGGAGCCGATTGATCCGGCTGATTGGGAAGCTCCTGCATTAACAATCCGCCTTTGTTCTGTCGTGCTGGTGCTCCGCGGGGTGTCCTGGCCCGGTCCCAAAGC